TGCTTTGCTCAAATAGCCTTATGTATGAAGCACTTTATCCAAATGCAGGAATTAAAGAACTATTACTACAGCTGGTAGACTGGAAATGTTTACAGATCCTACATTACAGTCCAAGATTCTATCTGTAAGTATTATATGTCTGTAAAAGTGTTTGAAAAAAGAAGAAAAAAATATCCAAAACCTTATGTAAGGAGTTACATATGTGATGTGTTATTTCTGGCGTGGCTGGATTAAACGTTTGCTGCCCACCATGCTGGGTTGGGCTGACATCAGTGCTGAGCAGTCACCTGCTCCTGCCCTGGGACAAAGCCTGCAGCCCTAGGGGATGGCACTTTGTAACAGCAACTTGCTGGAAGTTGAATTTGTTCAGAATATTTTTACCTGAAATGCTCAAATAGTTTGACTTCACAGCAGGAACTGCAACAGTGAAAGCTGGGCTGAAACAGGACTGTACATCTACCTCTGCCTTGTGTTTTCTTAACTCCCAAAACCTCACACTGCCTTCAGCTGGAGGATCCTGAAGGAATCTCTGGTTTGAACTTTTCAAAAGGCTTTCACATACCATTACAACAACACATGCTTCTACTAAAAAAGTATTTTTAATAATAAAAAAATTCCACCCATGAGAGAAAATTAAGTCACTGAAAAGGGTTAACACTTCAAGTTTTTAATAGTTGTGATCACATAACCACTAAAGCCTACCACAACCAGGGACTTCACAGCATGGAAAATCTTGTTACTTTTATTTCTGCTCTAAGAAACCCCCTTACTTTCCTTACTTTGCAGTGACCTGGAAAATAAGTCTCGTTTTCTGGAGAGCGAAGCAAGGAGACCCTCACAAGTCATACTCAGGCTGCTGTAGCCCAGTGTGGGCAGTAGCATGTGGGCTGAGTGCTTCTGCTTTCTCAAACTTCTTCCACTTCTTCCAGGCTGTGCTCCAGGATGGTGTCTTGTCCCTGGAACTTAAAATAGCCACGAAACAACTTTCTCTGAAGCACCAGGGGAAACCAATAGCTGTCATCTGGCCACATGTGATGGAATGGCACCTCGTCCAGCTGAAACCACTGGGGCCGCATTTCTGGTGGCAGAAAACAAAAGAACTTTGCATGGGACTTTCTCATGGATTTTTGCTGCCTACATTGTGAATATTGGTCAAGAAGCAGCTTCCCTCTACAGGCCAGCTGCCTTCCTTCTGGGAGGCATTTTAGCATGAACAGTTCTCCATTTCATAAGGGCAATGCTGTCTCAGGAGAGCATGCACATCCTTCCTTTCCCCACACAGCCACCTACCCTCACTTTCTGTTGGCTCTCCATGAAAGTGATCTGCCCGGAAAATGTGAACATCCATGAGCTCAGAGTTGCCTACAAATTCAAATGTGATCTGACCCATCTTCTGCAAGGTGTCCACAGTCAGTCCACTCTCTTCCAGGAGCTCTCTGAACAAGGAAAAGATTTCTTACATGAAAGTGAGCATTGGGAGGACAAAAATGCAGTCATTAGCTTCACTCACACGTTCAAAACCCTTCCAGTGAACCAAAGGAGAAAGTTTTGATAGCACAACAGAGCAGGCTTCACCACCACAGTGGAGCCAGGTCAGGTGGGATCCTGTGATATTTCAGGCTCCTGACCCTGGCAGGAAGACACTCTTTGTTGGAAGGGGAAGATTCAGGAAAATTGATCATTTAGTATAACTTAGTCCTTGCAACAGGTAATCTTCCCTGAGGTGAGAAGTGAGAAGTGACACTGTGAAGTCATGTGACTGGGTGTGGCTTCAGAACTCCAAGATACACTTCATTTAGACAGGAAAAAGGCTTTGCCAAGTTCAAGCTAAATCTTTTAGGATTGTGGCGAAGCAGGTCATGAACATCAGAAAGAACATCTACACCTGCACAATCAGCTACTTCTGAGGCAAACTGAAGTAAGCCAAGCTTACTTAAATTTCACACTCTGTAACACCATTTGCAGGCAGGAGATTGTGCAGAAGGAATTCTGATTCCCATTCAAAGGCAGTGTAAAAAACACAAAGCAATTGTGCAAACTTTGCCTTTCCACTCCTTAGAAGCATGTTGAGCATAATGAGAGGCCAGAAGGCAAGACTTTTAAGAGCACTTGGAAGCTGTGCCAGCTCTTTTCCACGCACCACCATGCACAGCTACTTGAAGCACCTTCAATTATTTCCTCTCTTTATGCTCTGTGCTCAGGGTTTTTTTAGTTTTACCTCCCTCTAACAGAAGCAGCACAGCTTGAAATTAGTCATGGTTATTCTAATGTACCAAAATAAGGAATACTCTGAAACTGTGTATCTTCAGTTATAGTTAATAATTAATGTAGTTGCCTATTTGGCAGTAACAACAATTTTAAAATGTAATGGAAATGATTTTTAGGCTCCAGCTTTCTTTGGCATTGATTTCATGGACCCCATCTTTCAAAATTATACTTCAACTTAATGTCTTGGCTAATTTTACTTTATCTTCTGAGAAGCTATCTATGTCTAAAATGGAGGCAGTTTTTCCAGCAATGACTAAAAGCCTCCTTTTACAGGCACTGATAATTGAACAATGAAGTACAACACTGCTACAGTTCTCCAGGCAATTTATCCATCAACTGCTTGGCTCTGTCTGTAGCAAGTGGAAACATTACATGTGGCAAACTAGAAATAACTCATTCACTAAATGCTCCCCTTACAAGATGTGTCACTGAGGAGCTGCCCAGCTGTTTGTGGGAATGTGCTGTATCCTAGTACCAGTATCTTACTGGTACTGGGAACTTCTGTTCATGTTTTGGCTTAAAATTTAACTGCCTGTGCAGAGAGGACACTTCACACCTGCTGCCTCTGCCAACCCAGCTGAGACAGAGCAACGTGGAAAGAAGCACAACCTCAGACCTCCGCTCCCAGTGCAGAGTGGAAGCGGTACAAGGGAAGTTTGATTTGGACTGTGTGACTGCTTCCTGCAGCAGAGCTGTGCCCTGAGGCAGCGCTGCACCAGCAGTGCTCCAGCCAGCAAGGTGGCCAGCACGGCCAGCTGCTCCTGGTTTTGGGGACAGCTTCCTGGCCAGCTGACCTCAGCTGAACTGGTTGTGTCATTCCGGAGTAAACTGCAGGCAGAGGGATGGGGACAGTCCCCAGCAGCAGGTGCTGGCTGTGCAGTGGCACATTGCATTTGGATTGAGGAAAATTTTCGCACTTGACATCTTGTGTGAACAGAAGTTCTAGTCTCAAACTCAGGGCCAGCACAGGTAAACACACCAAGGAAATGAAAAGCTACATTAAACCATTAGATTTACCCCTCAGCCAGTGGCAGGTAAGTCTAGCAAATGTTAAGTGACAAAACTTTTGTCGCTCCCTCCACTCAGAGATGCTAAATTGCACAAAAATCCATGATGAAGTATCAGGTACGTTAAGGCCATGGGCTGCTGGGAGCACATCTACACAGAGACCCTTCTGTCCCCGGGCCCAGCTCACCGCAGAGCCCAGGAGGTTGTGCTGGCACAGCTGAGGAGGCTGTTGAGGGCAGAAGCTGTTGGGAACCAGCTCAGCACCCCACGATTGAGCTTCCTGCAGGTGCAAGGGCAGCTTTGGGCACGTATCAGAAACTGAGGAGATGGCAAAGTGTGGCATTGTATAAGCAACATTCATGTAAAGAACAAGGTACCCAAATCTTAGAGGAGTTTAGCAATTCAGCTGTGATCTGCTATTTCATTTTAATGACCAGACAGATGAAAGAACTACAAGAAATCAGTACTAAAGGTTCAAAAATAACATTGTACCTTTTTACTGATGAAATTCAATTCCACAACTCAGCATTAGCACTTAAAAATATCACCATATAATCAAATAATAAGCAGTTTGGCTAATTATTTAACTTAAATTAGCTGTAATTCTGCTATATAGCCAAAATTAAACCCTGCACCTCTCTGAAGAGCGCAAGAACCTCCATCCACCACTCAGACTCTTTCTCAGTTTAGAGTCCAGGAGATGGGAGAGAGGACACAGAAAGTCCCAGTTGCTCAAAGACTGGATGATAGTTTAAGATTTGCAGATGACAAAGGGGGAGCAATCATGTTTCTCTGCACATGTGGATGATCCCTCATCACCTGTGGAGCAGGTGTTCAGAGGTGGGTCACGACTGCACTAGAGGGTAACACGAGAGTGTCACTGACCAGATGAGCCGTGGTATCTTCACCTGCAGCCCACCGCCGATGTCCCAACACCTCCACCTGTGCCCCCACACCTGTCCCCATGGCGCCGGCCCAGCCCTCACCTGCGGGCAGCCTCCTCGATGCTCTCCCCGGGCTGCACCTTCCCCCCGAAGCCGTTCCACAGCCCGGCGCCGAACCCGCGCTTCTTCATGCCCAGGAGGACGCGGGACGGCTGCAGCACCAGGACGAGGGTGAAGAGTCGGGACGTGTGCATGGCTCCTGGGAGAGGGACGAGGCGGGCACGCTGTGCCAAGGGGTCCCGGCACCCTTCGGAGGGGACCCGGGGGTGCACAGAGCCCCTCACCCCGCAAACACCCAGCACCCCTCCCCAATGCCGGCTCCCTAACCCCGGTCCCCCAGTACCTCTCCCGATCCCTACTTCTCTAACGCTCCCACTGACCCTTGCCCTCCTGCTACCTCAGAACCCTTTTTCCAAATCCTTGTTTCCCCAAAGCCCCCTCCCCGAATCCCTGAGCCCCCAGAAACCCCTCCCCAAATCTCCGATCCGCTCTCCCTAAATCCTTGTTCCTCCTGAACTCCCTCCCTGAATCCCTTATCACCCTCAACATCCCTCCCCGAATCCTTGACTCCCTAGCGGCCCTTCCCCATAATCGTTGATTCCCCATCCCAATCCCTGTCCCCCCTGCACTCCCATCCCGGGGCCCGCGCACCTCAGCCCCACACTCGCGGCTTTCCCGCCCGTCTCGGTGTCACCCTCAGCCGCGGCCCGT